GACTACAATGGACCACCTTTTCTTGCAGGCCAGCATCCCATATTCTATTCTTCATAAACCTCAATTATCAAATTCTCACTGAGCTAGATTAGCTCCTGACCCAGCAACACCCAGATTTTAAAATTTGTATACTTGTTTTCAAATCCCACCTGTGATATCATTCCCCCTCCCCACCCCCATTTTAATCTCTGTAACCTACTCCAGCTCCACAGCCCACTGAGACATCTGCGTTTCTCCAATTCTGTCTCTTACTCAACTCCAATTTTGGCTGCCACTTGCATTGGTAACTGTATTTTCAGCAGCCTGGGCTTAATGTTTGAAATTCTATCGCTAAACAACACTGCTGTTTCCTCATTCAAAAGCCAACTCTTTGACCAAACTTTAGACCATCTGTCCTGCAATCAACTGTCATGGTTTTGTGTCAAATTTGTTTGATACTCCTCATATGAAGATGTTTGATGTCATTATAAAGGCATTGTGCAAATGCAAGATGTCCTTGTAGATTCAGCCAGATGTTTGCTGTACTGCAGGAAATGCACTGTAACAGCACTACCTTGTGACAAATAAGAGATATTACAGTTACAGTTGACATCAAGGGCTTGGGTTCAGTTGATTGAGAATTCTAGTGTGAGAAGTGCAAAATTGTATTAACAGCACCACCTACAGTTGGGATACTTTTTGAATATTGGGACCATTCACTGTAATTAATTTGTAGTAGCGAAGAAATATTTTACAAATATCTTGTCAGTTTCAGTCCAGAAACCAGAATCTAAGCAGCTTTTTTGGTATTATGCTAAAAGAAAATCCAGAAACATTGTTGTTTCTTAAACTAATTACTATTCATAGTTAATTATGATGAAAATTATCGCAATATCACTGAAAGCCCTATCATTAGCTTTGGAAACCACCATATACAAACCATGTGTCGATCCCTGATTGCTTATCACACCTTCATGTGGTCTCAAGACTCCTCTTTGAGTTCTTCCTAAACTTCAACTAAAATCCTCTTCTGTACCAACCACTTTCAAATAAGGGACTCAGAATCCTTTAAAAATTGATCCCATTGTACTTAGTATGACAACAGCATCCATGTAGTTTCTGTTCAGTTCTGGTGTAGCCTGTGTCGAATCCTATCTTTGTGTCACTGAAGCACAGATATTCTCAGGTGAAGGTACACAAACTGTACAGATTGTAAACGGTGTTCAACACTGACTGTAATTTGCCCACTTCTGTCGTTAAGAATGGTATCTCTGAAATTTACACAGGTGAGCATGCAATATCAAGGTCTCCTGTAGTGCTACTTAAAGGCAGAATCAACAATTTTCACATGAGTTGCACATAGTTTCTGGGGGCTCTTTGTGAATTTCTGGAAAAGCTGAGTTGTTTTTAGGAGTTAAATGTATTTGGCGAAGTTTTCAGTCAGTGGTGCTGCACGTGGGGAGGGCTTGGGTGCAGCTGCAATTATTGCAGTGGGGCTTACCCACTGAATTCAAAATGAGTCATCTGGAGAACATAAGAACGTAAGAACTAGGAGCAGGAGTAGGCCATTTGGCCCCTCGAGCCTGCCCCACCATTTAATAAGATCATGGCTGATCTTTTTGAGACTCAGCTCCACTTACCCGCCCACTCACCATAATCCTTAATTCCTTTACTGTTCAAAAATTTATCTAGCCTTGCCTTAAAAATATTCAGCGAGATAGCTTCAACCGGTCCACTGGGCAGGGAATTCCACAGCTTCACAACCCTTTGGGTGAAGAAGTTCCTCCTGACCTCAGTCCTACATCTGCTTCCCTTTATTTTGAGGCGATGCCCTCTAGTCCTAGTTTCACCTGCTAGCGCAAACAACCTCCCTGTCTCCACATTATCTATTCCCTTCATAATCTTATATGTTTCTATTAGATCTCCCTTCATTCTTCTGAATTCCAATGAGTATAATCCCAGTCTACTCAGTCTCTCCTCATAATCCAACCCTCTCAACTCTGGAATCAACCGAGTGAATCTCGTCTGCACCCCCTCCAGTGCTAGTATATCTCTTCTCAAGTAAGGAGATCAAAACTGTACACAGTGCTCCAGGTGTGGCCTCACCAGGACCCTATACAGCTGCAGCATAGCCTCCCTGTTTTTAAACTCCATCCCTTGAGCAATGACAGACAAAATTCCATTTGCCTTTTTAATCACCTGCTGCACCTGCAATCCTACTTTTAGCGATTCATGCACAAGGATACCCAAGTCCCTCTGCACAGCAGCGTGCTGCAATTTTTTACCATTTAAAACATAGTCCATTTTGCTGTTATTCCTACCAAAATGGATGACCTCACACTTATTAAGTGTGAGTGTGAAGATAAGTGTGATTGGATGAAGTTCTTAGTGAAGGGGATCTCATTGTCTGCGTATGGAAGGAGGTCAACAGCAAGAGTGGGTGGTGGAATTCCACAGGTTATACCCCTCCCTGCTCCACCTTGCAGTGCCAGGTCACTCGATCAGACACTTAAGGTCCTCAATTAAACTCTAGGCATGAAAGGCTGCCACACATTTACCTCCCTCGGACTTGTTTAGAAAGATGTAAGAATTTCTACATTCCACTCTTCCATCCAGTCATGTGTTTCTCCCCTTACCTCCAAGGTGGGGCATTAAATTATTTTGTCAACATTCGAGATTAGATTGGATGGATGGATGTTTGAAGTTGAATTGATATGGGAAGAGGATAGATAAATGACTTTAGGTTAACTCCATTTGCATGAATGATAATTCCAAGATGGACTGATTATAATAATAGTCTATCTTCATGTTGTGATTTCAGTGCAACTCTTATGTACTTCTAAACAATTAACCCATCTTAAGATTTTTTGCTTTGTATTTGTGTTGAGTCAACAATTGAAGAAAAGAAGTTTCTAACCTCCTCCAATACAGATAGCTTTTGATTGCATAAACAAAGATGATTTTTCTTTGCCTAACAAGCTGATACATGGGTTCAAACATTAATGTCAGTGGTCAAGGTGTGGGTGTGAGTGAGGCAAGTAAGGGAACCCAGGGAACGGAAGTGCAGGAGCCTTGGCTTTTGCAGTTGTCCAACAGGTTGAGACCTTGTCAGTTTCTTTGAATGAGCTAAGTGACCATGGCACAATGGTACAAGAAGTTGGATGTGCTAAAAGGAATGTAATAGTAATAGGGGGCAGTATAGTGAGTGACATTGGTCTCTGCAGTAAGTGACATGAGTCTAGATGACTGTGTTATCTGGCCAGTATGAAGCTTCAGGATATATACTCTGAGCTGGAAAAGAACTTGCAGTGGAGGAGAGAGGATCCAGTAGTTGTGGTCCACATTGCTACCAACAACATAGATAGAACTAGGAAAGATGTTTTGCTGACTGAGTATAAGCAAGGCACTAAATTAGAAAGTAGAACCTCAAAAGTAATAATGTCTGGATTACTACCTGACCCATATACAAATTGTCACAGAGAAAATCAGATTAGAGAGCTGAATATAACTCAAAAATGTCACAGAGAAAATCAGATTAGAGAGCTGAATATGACTCAAAAACCAGCGAGGGAGAAGTGGGTTCTAGTTCACAGGGTACTGGCACCAGCACTGGGAAATGTTGGATTTGCATCTTTGGGATGGTCTACACTTGAAATATCTGGGACTGGTGTCCCAACAAATTGCAAAGCTAGGGAACTAGAGAGTGCTTTAAACAAAACAAGTGGGTTGATATATCAAATCTTAGTAGATGTACCAAATCAAGGAATAAAGTCAAGAAAGGAGAGCAAAATAGTAATATGGGAAATGAAGATCACAGAATGGCAGAAAGGATCGAAGAGAAAAAAAACATACCAGCAGACAATATTGGATGGTACAAAGATAACAAAAAGACAAAGCTGAAGATTCTGTATATGAATGTGCATAACATCATAACAACATAAAGAAGTTGAAGCACACATCAAAATGAATAAATATGATCTGATGTTGTGCCTTGTAAGGGAGTCCGGAACTAGGGGCTCACTGTTTTCAAATTAGTGGTTGCCCTTTTAGAACAGAGACAAGAATAATCTTTTATTTCTGAAAAGATTGTGCAATTTTGTAATTCTCTGCTTCAGAAGGTGGTGAAGGTGGGGCCATTGAATATTTTTAAAACAGATGCAGTAGGCAAAGGAATCGAAGATCATTGGGGGTAGGTGAACATGTGGAATTTGAAATCTAAATAGTTTAGACATGCTCTTATTGAATGGTGGAGCAGGCTGAAGGGGACGAATAGCTGATTTGTAGGTTTGTGCTTTGTTCTCCTTTGTAAGCCATTATTGTCAGTTGCAGGTAGATATTCAACATATAGCATTAGGGTGTAAACTTGCTAAAACCTGTACAGAATGTGACATTATGTCATATGGCGAATGGCAGAAGCTGGGTAAATAAACATGGCAAATGTGAACTTGATTTTATTTCGCACTGTAAATAAATGTTCAAACTTGAGAAATATTGTATGAAACCTAACAAATACAAAAACTTGTGATTTCCTGGCTAAGATTTAGGGTTTCTTTCAGTCACTAGAATCTTTGGGTTGTACATAAATCAACCATTAGTTGTAATAGCGATTGAGTTTTAAGTTAACAAAGAAATATCGGTCAGCATCCAGGTATGTTGCAAATGCAGTTACACAAATGAACACCAACTGGTCAAATTCTTGTTAGAAACGTAGGACCAGAGTGATATACAAAAGCTAGAATGCAGGCAGATAGATCCCAAATAATAATATGATTTTACTATCACAGGAGGTGTTGAAATGAAATCAAGGACATGATATGAATCTGTACAGTATATTAATGATTATGCTTACAAATTATCATTTTGATTTTTAAAAAAATTGCGTTAAGTTATGCAAAATTACTTCATATAGAATTCTATTTTTAAAAGAAAATTCTGTAATTTTGAGTCAAATCCAGTTTACCTCTATTGTCAATGAGCCCCAGCATTTTAATTTAATGCCTATATCTCACTTTCTTCCTTAGATGCCCAATAAGTCACCATTGCAGGTTTCAATGGTCTACCCCACTCAGCTAAGTCAGGATTCATGTGAAAGGAACTCACAGCTGAAGATGAAGGAGAGTTTACTAAGAAAAAAGGATACTGTCATTGAAAGGTAATGAACAATTTTTTTGTGATTCTTAGAGTTTCTGTTTCATACACAATGTGGAAATGTACTTTATTTTGTTGACTATTCAGTTAAAGCAATGATTCAGAAAGGCTAATGGCTGTTCCTCTAGAGTAATCCGGTGAAAAGATTATTATAGTATTTATGGAGGAATGGTTTTTCTATATATTTGGTGAGACTTTCATTCATAAATATTACACATTGTCACAAAATGACTACAGGAGACTTTTACTGACCACTAAGAATTAGCTTTAAATTAAATACCAGGAAAGTGGCAGGACTGTTCAGCCTATGCCAATTATAGCCATCCATATGTATTTTTGAATAGAAAAGCAACATTAAGCCTAAACACTGCCATTGCAGCCGACAAATCATAAGAATAACTTTTTCTCATGTCCTGATCTGTCTTTAGGGTTCATAGGTCAATGTCTCAAACGTGAACAAGGGCAACAACTGGAACAGTGAGCTCCAATGGGCTTTGCCTTTTCTGGTAGATTTTTCTCTGTGATATAAAACATATTTTATGTATTCATACAGATGTAGCAATGAGCAGGATTAAAGAAGGCCACTGTGTCTGGATGCTGATTAAAGATAAAAGACACTGTTTGAAGTCACCCTTAATCATGTTCTCACCAAATATCTGTCCTACTCCTTATTAAAACTACTGGCTAAGCTGATGGTTAAATATCATTCTTTTAAAAAAACTTCTATGCGTAACAGTTATATCTGATATATTTAATCATCTTGGCTATTCTAAAATCCATCCCATGACAATTGTTGTCATTTCATTTAGCCAGATTGATATTGGGCATTGTTTTTTAATAGGTTCCACAATGTGGGTTTTAAATATAGGTGCCTGTTGAAAATGCACCCTGATGTTTCATAGGTAGCAAATACAAAAAGGAATTTGTCCTTCAATGCATTTTAACATCATGTATTCGATATTAAAGAGAAAATAAACAATAATTGTACTTCTACCAATATGATGATTTCTCACTTCTGGTTTAATTTGCCATCCTTTTGTTTCCCTACCTGTGTGAAGCTTTCATCTGATTGCCTCCATCTATTCATATTTACGTGTGCAGACATACATCACATAAACCTGTTGTGATTTTGCTCTGTACTGATCAGCTTCATAACAAAATAATGAATAATGTGTGCAACCACACATAATAATGATGACATACTGCAAACAGAAAATAGTGCTTAATTTGGATCTAAATACTGTACTTAGACGGTAGTACAGATGGAGAAGAGAGAAAAAAAATCATCATAATTGGCTTTTCCTGTGTTTGGTGCCTGAGTCATTTAATTCTCTTTTCCTTTGTTAACACAAAAGTTTCAGAGAAAAGCAACATCAAAAAACATGGCGATGAGAAAAAAGAACTTTCATTTGTACATCTGTCAGAAGCATTTCACAGTTTTTTTGTGTGTGCAATTAATTACTTGCAAACATAGCTGTTAAGACAAGCATTGACACAGTTTATGGCCAGCAGGATCACGTTCTGCATTGCTGCTGGTCAAGATGATGATGATGTCAACACATTATTGGAGTGTTAGCGTATTATTTTAATTGTCCATCTGATGCATAAAGTGTTGGGGATATCTGGGGGTGGGGGGGTAGGAAAGGGGCTGAAAAGTAGGTGCATTTTGCTGATTGTTCATGTATTGGCCCCTTTTTTTTCATGTAATAGAGCACAATATCCATACTTTAGAATGTGGATGTTGGACATGTGGAGAACTGTAGAATATTAACTAAGGAAAGCCCAATTAAAGGAGTGGGTTACACAGAAACAACATTTCATTTTTTTTTTAATGACTTCCCTTCAGATTCCACTGGAAATGAAGGGACAGAGTTTTAAATGGATTGGGGCTGAGGTTGAAGACAGGCAAGGTTACAGTTTTATTTGGGTAACTATAATATCACTGAACCTTTTAAACATTTCCATCCATTAGTGTCACATGCTGGGATATCTCCAAACCACTTTCTATTTGCTTTTGCTTGAAAAGCATTTGTAGATAGGCATAAAACTCATTACGTTTCTACCTCATGTCTATTACCCTACATTAGTCAAAGAAAGTACTACAAATATATAAAATACTTTGTCCTTTTTACTTGTCAAAATTCATGCAGTTTTATTCCTCAACCTAATTTGCTTGTCATTATGAAATAGATTTTCATACTGATGGTGACTGCAGCTTTCAAACTGCAGAAAATTGTTATGCAAAATCTGTACAGTTTATTTTCAATAATTTTTGCTAGTAACATCTGGCTCCTTTTGAAAGGAATGAAATAAAATTTTGCATTGTTGAATATAATTAATTTTGTTCAAGCCACTTCTAGCTACAATAAGATTAAACAATTACCATAAATGACAAATTTCCCTGACGTTGTAGCTGAGCATATTGGTTTTGGTTGTTTTGCAGATTGAAAAATGTCTTGAGATGATTACTGCTCCTAACGAAGCCTGCCTAGTATGACAGCCATTATTTAAATGGTCATCATGAATTTTGTGAGATACTCCCAGACCAAGATTAATGAGTACACTCAATTACATGATCCAATTTATCCTAAAAATAGGAACAGCAATATCTGCTCTGTAAATGGTTTTAGAGAAGAGTCCCATTATTATTTCTATTCCAAACTGCATTCTGAAGTTGGGGATAGACACATGAAGAACTTTAGAAACAATTAATATTGCTATGTCACAATTCTATTGTGATGCATATAGTCATTTTCAGTTTGGTGCAGGAAGAACTTTACATTCTTTTTAATCTAACAACAGAATTGTTGTCTGAATCACACAGAATTATTGTTACACAGCGTGGAAACAGACCCTACGGTCCAACCAGTCCATGCCGAACATAATCCCAAACTAAACTAGTCCAACCTGCCTGCTCCTGGCCCATATCCCTCCAAACCTTTCCTGTTCATATACCTATCCAAATGACTTTTAAACATTGTAATTGTACCCACATCCACCACTTCCTCAGGAACTTCATTCCACATGCAAACTACCCTCTGTGTAAAAAAATTGTCTTTTTTTTTCATCTTTCTCTTCTCACCTTAAAAATGTGCCCCCTATTGAAATCCCCCATCTTAACAAAGAAGTCTCTGGGACTGGAATGAAGAGGGAGTGGATGGTGAGGACATATTGGTGGCACAGCTAAAGATGCACATTAACTCTTTTTAGCATTTCTTAAAATTGACTTTGGAATGTAAGTGCAGGGCAATATTGACATTCTATCATTGCATAAGAACATGAGGAGAAAACTACAGCATCTGCTGTGTCAAGCCCCATAAGAATTCTGCAAAACTTCAATGAGATCCCTTCTGATTCTTTTAAATTATAGAGGTTTTAGGCCTGTCAACTGAATCTCTCATTGTAGGACAATCACACATCCCAGGAATTATTCTAGTGAATCTTCAGTATGCTTCCTGCAAGGGAATCATATGGTTTTGTGAAAGGAGACCAAAACTGCACATACTATTCCACAGTACACAACAAGGCCATATATATATATATTTTGAATAACCTGTTCAGGCATGCTCTGACACAGTTCCGGGGCAGGTGGGACTTCTAGTCCAAAGGTAGGGACATGACCGCTGTGTCACTAGATCCTGACATGGTGCCTTGTTATTGAACTAAGACTTCTCAACTCTTGTGGTGAATTAAGGTTAACTAGATAGAGGGGGAAAACATTGACAGGCTGATCGTTCAAACACATATGGAAAGATACTCACAGGGATCTCATGGTGCAGTGGTAGTGTTCCTAACTCTGGGCCAGAAGGTCTGAGCTGAAGCTCCACCTTCCACAGAGGTGTGTCATAATATATCTGAACAGAAACATAAAAACATAGAAAATAGAAACAAGATTAGGCTATTTGGCCCATCACGTTTGCTCCACCATTCAGTATGATTATGGCTGATCCTCTACCTCAATGCCATATTTCTGTTTTATTTTCCCAATACCCCTGATGCCTGTAATATCTAAAAATGTACATCTTTCCTGAATATATTCAGTGACAGGGCCTCCGTAACCTGGAGAACTCCACATGTTCATTCCCCTTTGAGTGAAGAATTCTTTCTTCATCTTAGTTTTAAATGGCTCACCCCTTATCCTGAGACTTTGTCACCTGGTTCTAGACTGCCTATCCATGTTAAAATTGTATATGTTCCAATCAGATCCCTCACATCCTTTGAAACTCGAGTGAAGACAAATCCTACAAGACCTTGAAGAATTCAACTTTACAATGCTGCAAAAAGTCTCCCATTATAACTGTAATCCCTCAACTTTGGCAGTAGGCAATGATGCTCCTTTGTAGGCATGATAGGATGAATGGCCTCTTTCCGTGCTTAAACAATAGTACAAGTGTCCAAACTTGTACATGAAACTCCAATTGCAACCTAACTAAAGTTTTATATATGTTCAACATAACCACTTAGTTTTTATTTTCATTTTGTATCCCTAGAAAAAATAACAACAATTCTATGTGGTTTTATGGTCTTATTTATATGTAGTTGGCTTTTACTTTGGTACAAGACAATAGGATAATTGGTGAGTATTGGTAAGTGTTTCTAGTATTCTATTGTAATAGTTTTTAAAGTATTGGGATGACAGGTAGGCTCAGCCAAGTGGAGTGTACATCTGTGGTCTGTATGAAGTGATGAACACACCACCTGTCACAGATGAACACTTCTACAGAATGTGGCACTGGGTGCATAAGATTGAGCTTCTGGTTTTGGAATTTGGCGGCTCAAGTCATTGTTGTTCAGCTGCATGAAAGAGGACTATACAGCTGGTATGTTCAGGGAGGTGGTCACATTGCAGATAAGAAGTGTACAGGCAGCAATGGAATCGGTAAAAGCCAGGCAGTCTAAGAGAATCAGACAGCCAGCACTCTGTACTTGCTAATCAATATTCTAATTTGGATACTGATGAGATCAATGCTTCCTCAGGAGAGTGCAGCCAAAGGCAGGTCAGTG